TGTGGCTATAAAGTGGGGGATCAATTCTATATTACAATCAATATATAAGCTGATCCCTCACTTTTTGGCCACGGTAGTTTCTATATATTCATATTCCAGGGATTGTAAATAAATCTAAAATACATGCCTTTGTAGTTAATCAGTATTTGATTGATTCATTCATTCATTTTCTACGGCTTATCAACATACAAGAAATTATAATGTGGATATAAAGTGGGGGATCAATTCTATATTCTATAATTCTCTCATCCTTTAACATCAATACACGGAAGGTTATTCGTGAGTATGAAAGGATTTTATTAAAAATTAGCATATATATATATATATATATATGTATATATATATATATATAATTACCAATTTTTGACTAGTACTAATAATTACCAGGATGATACTAATCTAGAGAGACAACTCAATGTAAACTACAGAGCTTTATAATAATAATAAATCAAGAAGAAAACCTTAAAGATCCATTTCGTATCTGTCTATATTTCTGAGATGAGGTATTATGTACACTATTCATATTATTCGGACTATTGTCCTCATCTTTGTTGCCATATTTATTACAACGTATCGACCCTTCAGTATCTGTCTATATTTCTGAGATGAGGTATTATGTACACTATTTACATTATTCGGACTATTGTCCTCATCTTTGTCGCCATGTTTGTCACAACGTTTCGGCTTTTGTACGCTCCGGCTTTCTTCAGGTGGTTGGAACGTCGAACTGAAAGTTTTGTTTTGCTCACTGGGGTAGACTGTTCTAGTTCCACGTGCTATGTCTAATGGATGTCAGTTATCTCCTGTTAATTCCCCTCTGAAAGTTCTCCACTGCCTTAACCAGGTATTGAACTCACACTCTTTGGGTCCTGTCACCAAGAGGAATGGAATAAATAGATCCATTTCGGTTATAATTTATTTCGTGAATATCTTAATATAGTCATCTCTTCAGGCTGAAAGTTTTTTTTATAAATGGAGACATTTATATATGAGCCCGGAGAAAATTGTCTTCATTTCTTAAAAACTTTCGGTTTGAAGAGATGCATATATAGAAATATTCACGAAATAGTTTATAACCGAAATAGATCATTAAGGTTTTCTTCTTGATTTATTATATATATATATATATATATATTAAAGACATTTTATGTTTAACGTTGTTATTTTATAGATACAAGTATTTTGCTCTGTTTATGATAAACAGAAATAACGAAAATTTTTCATCCTATAACCTTTACCGGAACCGTCATATACGCTGACGTGCCTTACCTCTAGGCTACAAAGTTCCGTATAGGATGCAGGTTCGAATCCTGTCAAAGGACGAATATTTTCATGAAAATTTCTCGACATTCAGTTATAAATGTTATTTAATACTGTTTATCATAAACAGAGCATTTGCTTAAATACTTGTATCTATAAAATAACAACGTTAAACATAAAAATGTCTTTAATAAATAAATTGTCGGACCTTGTCCATTTCTTAATATATATATATATATATATATAGTAAAGGTAATATATATAGTAAAGGTAATAAATCCGTTGGTATATAATCCAAGTAGATCCTAGTAATATCAAATATTAAAACTGATCCCTAAAAGACCCCAATGTATTTATCATTACAGAGCGATAATTAATACACAGTAAAATCCAAAATTACCTCATACAGGGAACAGACCTATTTCAACCGACGAAAGATACGTCGGTCTTATTCAATCCCAGTATATAGACTGAACTTGTGTCGGTAATTTTGGATTTTACTGTGTACTATATATATATATATATATAGGTACAAAATAGCAGTAATAAAAAACTTTCTAAATAGAGCACACCAGAATTCATCCTCTCGACTACTCTTCCTCAAAGAACTTAATAATGTTAAACAAGCACTAATCAACAACGGCTTCCCTAACCACCTTATAGACCACCAAATTAGACTATTTCTCCCCAAAGTAAGTAATAACGATAGCGAACACACAGCCAAAAATCATATACACATTTATTACAAAAAATAAATGCATATTAATTACAAAAAAGACATAAAAAACACAAAAATTTTATATCATCTGTTTTTGGATAAGACTTGTTTTTTATGTCCATCGTTTTCGTCGATTTATATTGATTATGTTAATTGTATTGTATTTTTAATGAATATTGTCCCGAAGAAGGTTTTTTAACCGAAACGTCAGACGTCGATTTCATTCATAATTAAAACAACATAATCACATTCTAAGGATTTTGTTTGTTTTTCCAGATATTTTCTTCATTCTGTCGGATTTATATCTATTTATATTTGCTAACATATATATATATATATATATATATATATATATATATATATATATATATATATATATAGACAAGTGGTCGGTATCAAGCAAGGATAAATTATACATTACATTCTGAATTTAAATGCATTAAGAGCGTATGAATTTGATTAATTATTTTATAACAAAACGAATCGATAATTTTGCCCGTTCGTTTCAAAGATTACGATCAC